TGTGCTAAAAAAATTTTGCGGCACCCCTACTCTTCAAATGTCTACGAAAACAAGAAAACACAATGTAACTTTTATGCTCCTTCAGATTTAATGTGAGGACTGAAATTGTTTTGATGATTTCATTATTTCCTTTAAGTTTATTGGGAGGTTTGACAATTTTAGCCTGAAATCATTTGACGCTGAAAGCTTGCTGGTGTATTTGTTTTTAACCGACTTCACAAAAAGGGTAAGGTTATCAATTCGTCGGAATATTATTATTATTTTTTCTATGTATGTTACCGCATAACTTTGGACCACCTTAACCGATTACTATAATTCTTTTTTAAAGGAAACAGGTGACAGGTGGTCTAATTTGGTTTAAATCCGATCATTGGATCACGAATAAATTAACGATAATCTTAAATTCGTAGATGGGAATTGAAATCGTTTTTTTTTTTCTTAAAAATTACTTGTTTATGTAAGCATTAGTTGAAAATGCGGTCTCACATAGAAATGTAAAAGTAAGGGCCCTATGTTGAGTTGCATTCGACTGTGGTCGAAAGTGCTGATCGAACGAATTTTCATTTGGTATTATGACGCTCATTCGATGAAGAATAGCGCTATTGTGAATTTCGCTCGGTTAGATTGTTTACAATAGTATATTTTTCACCGCTGAGAAGTTTTGTTTACAAATCGAGCAAACTAAATGGTGTGCTTATAAATATGTATGCAAATTTGTGCAAATTAAAATGAAATAAAAAAGAAACAAGAAAGAGTTTATAAAAACGTGGTAAAAATGAGTACAACGCAGTTCTGGTTCAACGATTCATCAGAGGAGAGAGCTTAGTTAACTGCCCAGGAGTAGAAAACGTTTAAGGGGGTTTAAGTGTAGTCTTTCGAATATATTTTGACATAAAATATATTTAAAAAATTTGTTTATTAAAAACTTCCGACTGTCTAAAGAGACGTTTGTGAGCCAAATCGATTTAATATATTTTAAAACTATCAACAGCTTACGACTTTTTTCTCAGAGAACGTGCCAATTGAGGATTGGGTTTTCTTTTACAAGTAAAACAAGCCTTTCGAGCGTGTGTTTAATATTCACGACATTAGAACTGCATGAAATTAATAAAAATTGTTAAAAATTAGTGTCTAGCCGCCATAAAGTAAAAAAACAAATGCAAAATCATACATTGTTCACAATTTTCTAACACTTCGCTACGCCATCGAAAGCAAAATTCTGTTCGACAGAAAATTCGATACTCAACGACGCGGTTGCATAGCTCATAATTTCACTTTTGATGTTCGATCTTCGATAACCAGCGAAGATCGAAAATCGAATGCAACTCATAATAAGGGCCTAAAAGTCACTAGTATTTTTAATGCAATCCTGCCAACAGCAGTGTTTTCTGCATACACTTGCATCCAGAACTCTCTTGGCTCCCTTCGTAGTATTTAATAATCAAAATGCTGTCTTCACTGATGTCCAGAAGGCTTTCAAAAGCTTAATTGGTCATCTCAGTAGGTTTACTTTTCGGGCCACATGAAAACGGGTTTGTTATCCAGCTGAAGCCATCCTCAGAGTCAGTGTTGGGAAAATATTCGACAATGGCTTTTTCTGAACCTTCCCAGTTAACGCTGGTAATGCGCGTTAACGCTAAGAAAATAATTTTTACATCCAATTTCACGAAAGCAATTTAAGTGATAAATGATTTTAATTTTTTTAATTTTATATGGAAATTGCTAGTGAAACCGGCTGTTATCAATTTTCTAAGCGTTAACTTCGAAGTTACATACGTTTTTCTGATTACTTTGTTTATTTATGGGGTTTGCATGCAAATTACTAGAAATTCTAAAATATACATGTCACCAATAAAAAAAATCTCGACGTGCTAGAGAAACCAGAGATGTATTTTAACTTCTCAGGCCTCTGCTATCATCGCAGCGTCATCCAATACGGGTTTTAAACCTAGTGGCGACATCTTTCTAGTCGCCAGGGAATACCGAGGGATCATACAGTGACTTCTCGTGGCGTTTTCTGCCTCTTGCTTCATCATATACATCGCTCCTTTCGTTTTTCCAACCNCGCGGTTGCATAGCTCATAATTTCACTTTTGATGTTCGATCTTCGATAACCAGCGAAGATCGAAAATCGAATGCAACTCATAATAAGGGCCTAAAAGTCACTAGTATTTTTAATGCAATCCTGCCAACAGCAGTGTTTTCTGCATACACTTGCATCCAGAACTCTCTTGGCTCCCTTCGTAGTATTTAATAATCAAAATGCTGTCTTCACTGATGTCCAGAAGGCTTTCAAAAGCTTAATTGGTCATCTCAGTAGGTTTACTTTTCGGGCCACATGAAAACGGGTTTGTTATCCAGCTGAAGCCATCCTCAGAGTCAGTGTTGGGAAAATATTCGACAATGGCTTTTTCTGAACCTTCCCAGTTAACGCTGGTAATGCGCGTTAACGCTAAGAAAATAATTTTTACATCCAATTTCACGAAAGCAATTTAAGTGATAAATGATTTTAATTTTTTTAATTTTATATGGAAATTGCTAGTGAAACCGGCTGTTATCAATTTTCTAAGCGTTAACTTCGAAGTTACATACGTTTTTCTGATTACTTTGTTTATTTATGGGGTTTGCATGCAAATTACTAGAAATTCTAAAATATACATGTCACCAATAAAAAAAATCTCGACGTGCTAGAGAAACCAGAGATGTATTTTAACTTCTCAGGCCTCTGCTATCATCGCAGCGTCATCCAATACGGGTTTTAAACCTAGTGGCGACATCTTTCTAGTCGCCAGGGAATACCGAGGGATCATACAGTGACTTCTCGTGGCGTTTTCTGCCTCTTGCTTCATCATATACATCGCTCCTTTCGTTTTTCCAACCACCGCAAATATCCGCACACTCGCTCCATTTCAAACCATTGTTCTGTACAAATTTGTCGATAGCTTTAGAATTTTCGTCTTCGATTTGCATCGCGAATGGGTTCCTCACTAACACGAGAAGACTGCCGCAGATTAGGTCTACAAAAGTACCGAAAGTGGTTGTGAAAAGGGTACGTTTTCGGCTACTTTTCTGAAAATTTTGTGATTCAATTTTACGTTGACACAACGTACTGGAGAACTACGCTTTAGAGCGAAATATCCCTTTGCTGCAAGCTATTTGTGTTGTGTATGGGGTTTGACGAGCCGCTGAAGGTAATTTTAATAAAAATCCTTTTTTCCTAACATTAGGTTTGTTTTTTACATTATGAAATACGAAATGCTCTCACAAAATTGAATAAACTGCCCAACACCACGGGAACGCAAAAACCCATTTTCGGGCCCGAAACTAAGAGCACAACCAGCCACCGACGTAAAACCGTAGACCGTGTCAGCTGATACGACCTATCTTAAGAGATTCTCTAGTTAACGAAAACATTACGGTGACGTTGTCGTTGCGTCTCTCTCTCTCTTGCAACAGCAATTTCATACGGAAAGGCTTAAAGTGTCAAATCGCCCAAAATTATAAATTTAAGATTTGAGCGGCAGCAAGCGCAATAACGTTAAACTAATGGTTCATTTGATATGTTTCAACAGCTAAGTATGCACATATTAGATGGGTTCCCTAAATGGCAAGAAGTTGCAAGAATTTACAGGAGTTTAGCAGAAAACGTTCCCGTACTCGGTTCTCTGGCAAAGTAGGGGAAAAATGGGAGAGTAAAATCGGTCCCCTCTTTGTCAGAAGTTGCAAGATTCTACCCGAATAATTTTGGCTGGTAAAATCTGGTAAAGTGTCAAACCATCAGCTGTTCAAACGAATTGAAAGTTGAGTAAGCAAAAACAAAGTACTTCTGCATTTTCACCTTAATTAATATATCGTATCGAAGAAATATCAAGTTTTGTAACTATTTTTGTTAATTTGCTTGTGTATTTGCGTATAATTTAGCAGATCGCCAAATGATAAAAAAACTGCTATGTTAACAAAAAATGGCTTCCATGGTGTATTTGGCACTTTTACCAGTTTTTACCCGAAAAGCGTTCCCGTACATTTTGGGTTTGCTCTCTTTCTCTGAGAGCAATTTTGCTTTTTGAAAGTTTTACAGGTTTTATCCAGAAAAATTGACTATTAGCTATAATTTGAATGTTTAAAATTTTTCCTCTTCTGGCAGTTTGACAATGTTCATAAACTCGCCCGGAAAAATAGTCCGGCCGACATCGGGCTAGAGAGAAGCAAATATTACTCGCTCTGGGTCTCAACAGCCCGAGAACCAACAATTCGTTAAATCGTTATTAAAAGAACATATTTGTAAAATAATAGTTAAGAGAAAATACCGCCTATCAAGGCAATGTATTCAAAGAATAAAGCGTTTTTTCGCTCTCCTGTAAAATTTGAGTGCTGTTAGATAGGCGGTTTTGCAATTGGGCGATGGGCGGTTTTGCAAAAACATCGACGATATATTTTTACATTTTAAAACAATTAAACCTCTTTATCCTATCGAAAGATTGAATATAAGGATAATTGACGGTTTGAAAGTTTCTTTTATTCCCCAATCCGGCTTTGTTTACTTTTACTTAAGAAATGTCGTGGCCGTCGGTAGTGTACAGTCTTGTATTCTATTATTCTTGTAATGGAGTAGCTCTTCGTAGAGATGCTTAAGCTCTCTCCGACACTCGCAAAATTAGACAAAGCTCAAGAAAAAAGCTCGCATTTCATTCTGGAATTGGTTTTTAAGTAACCATCACTGTTGGTTTGGCAGTCCACTCACATTGTTACTTATATAAACAAACTAATGTGAAGAAAATAAATTTAACAAAAAATTTCAAGACAAATTAAGAAAGACAAGTGTGAACTAGAGGTATACGCCGCCGAGCCACGCCGCCGCCGCCGCCGATTTTTGTCATTCCTCACGCGCCGCCGCTGAGCTAAGAAAATATCGGCGCGGCGGCGCACACAGTGGCCGTGTAGTGTATTTAATGGCTATAAATCAAGGAGGTTGCGGAGCTTCATGAAATCTTGCACAAATTTATTTTAAATTTTTTAAGAATTTTAATTGTTTTTTTACAAAAATACGCCCACTTTTACGCCCACCTCCCATACAACTTAAATAGAAAATGTGGCATAACTTCCATGATTTTAAATATATCAACTCAATTTTCATAACACATTAATATTATAATTGTAGAATGTGCTCCTGAAAATATGAACTTAATCCGCCAATTTTTACGCCCACCTCCCATACAAATGATATTTCAAAAATGCCATATCTTCTGTAAATTTGTAACTAGAATGTATATTTTTCGCAAAAATGCATATAACATCTATTAAATGCTGTTTTGCAAATATGAAGAAAATCCGCCCACTGTAACACCCACCCCCCATACAACTCCAATACAAAAATTTTTACAGTTTCACTCTATTTCATTTATTAACAACTTTTTCACATCTTCGTGATAATCTAATTTTTTAAGCTTCAATTTCGTTCTAAATGAATTGATGTATGGGTCGGAGGATATCAACAAATGATGCATTACGTCTTCGTTAGTAGAAGAGCGCCCAGTCTTGCGCGAGTGATATAGCCTATAACGTCTATAATCTTTGTTCCTCGCTTCCTGCGCTTCTTCTGATAACATTCCTTTGAAAAATAAACCATATGTTAATTTAAAATGTATGAAACAAATTGTATATTTAACCTACCTATAGGTAGAATGGCCTCAGATACAATTTTGCTACCATGTATCAAAACTTTATGCACTGTGATGGGCATGTAGTACCATCCATACAAATCAATGCACAATTTTGCCGTGTCTATACAATATATTTGGAATTTCTCAGCGTCTATTGCCTGACTGCAAGTTATTGTGGATAATATAATTTTGAACCGATGAATCAGTTGCTCATTTACTCCTGTTATGTCAGCTGTAATTTGAGGGTTTTCAAACAATCGTCGAGCTGTATTCCCATTGTTGCTGGAACCCATTCCTTGTTTAACCACATCAACATTTATTCCCAATACAAATTTAAGTCTTTTTTGAATTGTGGCCTGCTTTCATTTGTTTTCTTCTATATGAAAATTACCAACAAGTTGTTGTAAAAATCGCCTCTGTTTTACAACAACACGCCCTGCGGCCACTGTATTAATACACTATGGTACCGATATTGCTTTGATAGAAATTATTATTATATTAGAGTAACGAAGTGCAGAGGGCAATGACTTATTGTGTGTTAGCATCATTTAGAGACTTTAAAACAAACGTTTTGTTGTTATTATAACCGTACACATTATTTTACATTTAATGTTGTTTATAATATGTAGGAAATAAACGAGCAGCAAAGAAAGAAAGAATGCGCACTTGTTTTTGCACGCGTAAAATAACGCATAACGCATATTTTTTACTGTAATTTTTTGGGCTTTCATTGTTTTTTCGGCGGCAGGCAAATTGGGGCCGGTTTTTTTTTTTTAGTCTGTTAGCTGAGACTCTCAGCTTTAATTTGGTATAGGACTCCATGTGTCGCACTGCTTCGCACACAACTAAAAGTCTAACGGAAAATCATAAATGTTTATTTTTTTGGCTCAAAATATATTGTCAAAGGAATTTTTTTTCAATTTTTTTTTTTTAATTTACATAATGCGTATGTCTATTTTAAGTGAAAAAATACTTATAAGGTACATTCGGTGTATAGTTTATAAGTATCAAGCTTTTGAATATGACATAGAAAACTATCACATTTGAGACTTGTTCACATACTTCAACTTTGAGGTGCTCGGGACAGAAAACCAATGGAGATATTTGCATGAAATTTTCCACACATGACCTTTAGATACTTTTTAACCATCTGTGCAAAAATAATCAAAATCGGAGAGCAGGTCCAAATTGATTTATTGCCGCAGTGGACACAGTGTGCGTCGGCGGCGACGTTCCGCGCTAAGGAATTTTTTACAAAATTTTCATGATGTATGTATGTACATTAAAATACATCGTTTGAAGGAACTCGTTTAAAAACACAATTTTACGAAATGAAAATTACTTTTTAAAGGAGTTTTTTTTGCATAATTTGGGCCACTGGACAGGAATATGATCTCCTTTATTTTTCCAAAAAGAGCGTAATTCAGAAAAAAACATATGTAATATATTTTTGGATCGAAAGCGTTTATTACAGTTAAATTAGGGTAGAATATTGGTAATCTAACGATTCCGCAGTAGACAACTCTTTCCAATACTACAAGAACAAGAAAGTTATAACACATCAAAAACTTTAACGCCAATATCTCAGAAAGCAACTTTAACCGAAGCAGCTTCTGTTCATCTAACTCATTCCATCTAACTCCTCAATTATTAGAGATAAAACAAAGACAAGTTGATTTTCCTGAGTATTTTTTTTTTATATTTTAAACAGACTTTAAATAAAGAGCAAACACTTTTTTTTGCTAATTTTTACATTCGTAGGTTATTTTATTTTTGTTATTTTTATGGCCTTATAACAATTATATTCAACAATTTTTATGAGCTTGAGGCCGTTTCAAGTGAAAACTTATTGTGGAAAAGCAACAATAATTTGAAAAAATGGTAGAAGTGATAGCTATTTCGGAAATCACCACATTTCCTCATCAGACTTCTTTCAGTAGGATTCGAACCGACGATCACCACTGACTCAGCCAGTTGCCTACGCACTGTGCTAAGTTTGTCTTGTTAATTCTTGTTGCTTATTTTCCACTATTTCACTTTGCTAAGCCAACTACAATCAAGCGCAGCTATTCCGCTGCAATTCACTTGATCATGTGGTTGTTGGTTTTGTTGGTTTTTGTTAATATTTCTATTATTAGAATGTTTAACTTTTAGGTGTGCTCGTCCTTAAGTTATTTGTTTTTGTTATTTTTATGGCCTTATAACAATTACACATACGTATACAAGTACTAGGTGGCTGTGTGAAAATTACGTTTTTGAAGGTTTTGCTCCCTTGCATCGCAACGTTTTGAACAAAGGGTTAAAGTTCTCCCTTTTTGGTAAAAACTAATATTATTTTTCATTACATTCGGTTCTCCTTAGAAAAATTTGGCGCTTAATATTTTAGTGGAAATTTTAACCATCTATAAGCCATTTTTTTTAAACAGTGGGTCAAAAATACACGTTCTGGTTCGAGTTGATGTGTTAAGCTTTTGGAAAAAAGTAGACCAACCTTGTTTTCAATATGTAATCCGCAAAAAATCGTAAGAACTCCGTAATTTAACATAACGGTTGATAAGATTATTGCAAAAATTTATTGACAGCGGCATAAATTATCCCAATAACCTAACTTTTAAAATTTTTAATTTCTTTAAATTTAAATAGTACATACGGATCTATCCTGCAGAAAAAAATTATCAATTGATAACAAATAACACAGTTGTAGTTAGCTTTTTTGCGGGATTTCTATAAAATATATAACTTGTAGTTAGCTACAAAAAGCTAGCTTGAAACTACATAGTTGACAAGTAATGCAGGTGTAATGAAGGAGATTGTTTTCTTTAAATGCGTTTGAACAAACGCGTTGAGGACAAATAAAAGGAAGATCGAAATTTCATATTATCATTTTGAAGTTATGTCTGACGGAGTTCGAATATGGGACCACCTACAGCAGTATATGAAAACAAATATGAAATGTATTAAAGTAAATAATAATAAAAAATAAAATAAAAAAAATATATTTTGTTTTTTCTATTGATATTTTATGTCCAAAAGTAGCTAGTTACAAGTTTGTTACATCTAATGCAGAGGTAAACCACCCTTGACTATTTCGCGGCCATCGCCATGGAAATATAGTTAGCTTTCGTCAAAGAAAATATACAGATAATAAGTGACTTTTAGCTCCTTCCTAATCAACTTAAAGTTAGCTTATAGTTAGATACATTTCCTGCAGGGTGTAGAGAACATACAGAGCCATGTGTGTATGTATGTATATTAGGGCGGGTCAATTTGTATGGATCAATTTTTTTCGACATCGTTCCTAGCATATTCGGATTCTTCATACAATTCTAAGAAAAAAATTTCTCCAGACCATAGCACTAGAGTCAATTTCGAGCCTGCGCATTTTTAAAAGAAGATATCTTATATATAAAAGTGAATTTCTTTCCGTTAGTCTCGGTAAGACTCGAAAACGGCTTGACCGATTTGAATATTTTTATTTTTTTGGTTTGCTTTTTATAATATCCGGATGGTTAAAACCAGAAAAAATAGAGAGTTGCCACCTGTTTAAAAATTTCAGTATAAGTAAATTAATGAGATAAATTAGATATTACAATATGGGTGTCAAAAGAAAGAGGTTATGAAGACTTACAGGCGAAAATATTTTTGAGAGGGGTTGCCACCTCTTTCAAAATTTAATTAAATTAAATTGGTAAGATAAATTAAATATTGCAATATGGGTATCAAATTAAAAAGGTTTAAGAAAGCTTACTACTGAAAATATTCTTGAGTCGGGTTGCCACCAATTTCGAAAATTTGTTTCAATTAAGTTAACAAGATAAAGTATGTATTATAATATAGTTGTCAAACGAAAAGTATTTGAAACTTTATTGATTAAGAAATATTTCCTATAGGCCTGCCACCTACCAGAGACTGGCTTGCGTTGAACGCCAACTATTGCATACTCAATACTGCTGCTTTGTATGACTGAGCAGCGCGTTGACTTAGTAGCAGTGATCGGACTTCAAAAAAATTCTGTGTGGTACAATCTGGAAAAAATGTGCTAGATTTCAGAAAAATGTGGTAGATCTCTGGGTTTGGATCAAACTTTTTACAAAAATTAAAAAAATTCTGCAATGGCAAACTTTTTAATTAGACTCTAAAAAAATTTTATTTTAGTATAATAAAGTGCAAGTTGAATTTTCCCGAGTTTTTCACAAAGTTTACACATATGATTTTTATGTGTTTTGGTGTAGAATGAACTATTTTTTTATAAAAAATTATCGGAAATAAAGTAGAAACTTTGCCTACATTACGAAAAATTCACTGTGCCAATACTTTTGTTCGTTACAAAGTAAAAAAAAATTTAACTTTAAAAAACCAAAAAACAAAAACAATTTTACAATATTTCAAAATTATTATTCGAATCATAAATTTTTTTATGATTAACAATATATTTATAGTTCTTTTGGTTTTAGATCCGTTTTGCTTTCAATTCGAGGTATCATTTTTCTGCATTCTATTGTCATAGCCATAACTCCCTCTCTATTTTTATCTATCAATCAATTTTATATTTTTTCGGCATTTTTCCTAATTACAAGTAGAGCTTTATAAAACTTTTATAACACCAAATGTTTATCAAGCATAGGATTTTGTGTTATCCGGGCAGGGTTATTAATTTAACCAGAGAATATGTTTTCTTTATTAAGTTTATCCAGTTACCTATCTTAAACTGCTACCTGTACTGTATCAGCGGTTAAAACTTGTAATTTTTTATTTAAAATTTTAGATAAGGAATAAGGGAGTGGATGAAAAATATATAACGCTAAGAACGGCCCATATATATGTATATGAAAGAATACACACATGCGACGACTCTAGCCATTGTGAGTCACTCCTTTAAATTATAGTTTTTTCTTCTTCTTATTGTATTAAAAAAATAACGTTCGTAACACTTTAGTAAATATTCCGTATATTAACTTAGTATATATTAAAGACTAGAAGATGACCCGGTGAACTTCATACTATAATTTATTTGAATTTCACTTTGATAAATTATAACAAATCTTCAAAATTCAATTCAATGAAATCACTAATAGCTGTTATAGCTGATAAAAGATTCCACACCTATGAGATGTGCCACACCCCCTTTTACAAACTCATTTATATACATATATCTTTCTATAAGCACCTACCATAGGTATCTGTGCCTTTCAAATTTCGAGTTCATGTGACGTATAACTCCGAAGTTAGAGCTGATTAAAAATTTTCACTATGGGATGTGCAACCCATCGCCACCCCTCCCCTCCAACCTCTTGGCGAGTCCGCATTTTTTTACCCTATTATAGGTCCAGGAGTCATGGCAATACTCTGGAAAAATTTTATTCGATTCTGTCCATCCGTTAGGCTACAACCTGGCACATACATACATGCATACTTCCACAAATATATAGTAGAATTTGCTTTGAAGCGCCATCTTACGGTTCTTTGAATAAAAAAATAGATATCAGAAATGAATTGTTTATATCACAAAACTCCGGAGCACCAGTTTTATTTAAAAAAAAAAACATTCGTAACACTTTAGTAAATATTAATCTGATTATTGACTTAGTATTAATTAAAGATATTTTCTTTTAAAATTGCGCAGGCTCGAAATTGATTTTAGAGCTATGGTCTAAAGGACTTTTTTTCTTAGAATTTTATGTAGAATCGAAATCTGCTAGGAACGATGTCGAAAAAAAATTGACCCGCCCTAATGTATATACCTCAGACCTTCTTCTGTTCGCCCATCCATCAGCGCCAGGCACTCAACATTTTAATTCGAGTAGGAAGTAACGTAATTTAAATTTAAAACTAGTTCAATGAATAAATTAAATAGAATTATAATCTGAATTGGCATGATGAATGCCTAACGCTGACGAGATGACATGATAAGATTAGTAGCCTCATGGCTCTCTGGAATCTACCTTATGGGCAGTAGCACCGGCGTTTCCAGACGAGCCGGCGCACTATGGGACTACAGCGGCCAAAAGTAGTAAAAACAGATAAGCGAATTCTGAAAAAATAATTACGCAGATGCATAGCAAAATATCCAGCTAACCCAAACCAAAAAGAATTTTGGATGAAAATGCATATTTGCAATCATGATACGAGCTTAAAGTAGGAGCAATGCGAAAAAATATATTTGTTAGAAAAGATTTTCATTTTGTCGCAAGTAATTGAATTAATTTTTCCACTTGTGCGGATATATAAAAAGCCAATCTGATTGATGAGCAGTTTTTGAATATATCTGTGGTCAAACATTGCTTTAAATTTTTATACATCTTTTGAAATGTATAAAACAGTTTACCTTAAAATTCGACATAATTTTGTGAGTGTAAAATTTTTCGAGTGCTTAATTTAAAAAGGGATATTTAAAAAGGACCTAGGAGGCGAGCTAAATTATACTTAGGACAAGTAAACATTAAATATGTGTGTCATATCTCAAATAGTTCCAGCTGCGAGGAACTGCGAGTTCAGCTTCTATTCTTCCTTTTATAGACCCATCTCCTGTAAAATTTATTGAATTTTTATTGTAGAGCAAAAAGGAAAAACTCTGATATGTACATAAAATGAAAGATATGCAATATAAAGTGGAAATTAAAGAAGGTTTAGATATTAATGACTCGCCAATCTATTACTCCCAATCAACGTTCAGCCAAAAATGGACGTTTCTCTGGACGGGATCCGTTTTCGATGACAAGAGTCCTGCTTGCCTTAGCTCAGCTTTTGTTGTATAAAATGTAGGTAAAATTTAAAGTTTCAGTGTAAATACATATCGTGCACATAATTTAATTTGCAGGTATTGTAAATGTTTTCGCTTTGTCATTTTTAAAATGAAGAAATAGGAAATTCTTTAGAAATAAAATAAATGTGCCTGTTCATTTTCTCCAAAATCCATACAATTTAGTACTTGGAGTCAAAAAAGCTGAGTAGGAGGTGAGCGCCGTAATAAGAAGCTCTTTATTATGTTCCAAGTTGGAAAATTTAGGCTTAAACGAGCAGGGCACACCGAATATCATAAAAAAAATTTTTTTTTTAATTGCGCCTGTTTTTCTAGAATTACTGGGCGATAATGTAAACCGATTTTGACGATCTTTCAGATTTAAGCTTTTCTCATTAAAACCAGCATATGCTCTGAAGTTCATCAAAATCGGATAACATTTACTATTTCCGCCCACAAGAGTTGTGGGCGTGGTAGCGCGTTGAATTTTACAATTTTCCACAGTTCATCATTCCTAAGTGCCGAACAGCCCATATACGAAATTTCAGCGAATTTTTAGTACGGTTACTACTTTTGGCCGCAGCTTATATGGGGACGTCCCACTGTGCGGCGTCGCCGCCGCCGCCGATTCTTTTTGAAGTTGACCACGCCGCCACCGCAAGGCCTGTCGGCGTAAACCTCTAGTGTGAACGCACTTGATTTCTATGAAGTAATTTACGATGTAATGTGAACGTGATTTAAAATGCTCCTTTTTCATAGTTCAAACTAGGAATATTACTGAACATGATTATATAGTTTATGTACAGGAATGTTCTTTACATCGTTGTCAAGAACGACAGAATACAAGATTGCGCCCATCAGAGAGGTTTTGTGAGAATAATTTTTGTGTCACGCTGGATCAGTTGCGCGAGAGAAATGTGAAAATTCGAATAAGAATGCCAGAAGAAGCAGAAATTTTGCAAGAAAAACGTAAAAAAGTTGCACAAGAGTGTTGTCATACAAACAGCGATTCTGTCAAATTCACTAAGAGCGGAATAACAGTACAATACCCATATTTGTTCCCTACACCATTGTTTACGTACGTGTTTATAAGTGGAGCAAAATATATACAGACACATTCAAGTACTTTGTACATACATACATGCATATGTATAGGCCTATGCAGATATACATACATATACACGTACGCACCTTTCTGACGTGCACTTGTTTGTATATTTGTACATGTGTATTTATGTTAACACATATTTCTGGAAGGAAATTTTAAATATATACATATGTAGCGCTGCGATTGAAAGTTTCGGTTTTATGCTAAAAATAAGTTCTAGTATGTACATGCGCATTTTCAAAAAAAAAAAAAACAAAAAAACTAAGTAAATAAGGAAATTCAATTGGCACTTAGGTCGAGTGGGATACAGTGACACACCTACTAGTTTCGTTTTTTTTTCATCAAACTCGCGTTTTTACGCCTCTGACACCTCATCGAGTCTTTTGTTTATTATCATTCTTTTTTTGCTCTGTATATATGTATTTTGTATATTTCCTTGAACATAACTGACTCAGCGGTGTATACATACTTTCTCTGATCGCTGGTTCTTTTCTTTACGTACATTTTTTTTAAATGCGCCAGCTAAAATTATGTGAAATATATTTTTATAACAGTGTATTAATTTTATACTACTTCGTCGTTTAACTCCTATAAAATAGAATGGTCAAACTGCTTTGAGCATCGCCAATAATTTAGGATACGTCACTGCTGTGGAAACGCTGAAGGTGGTTACCGAAAAATCAGTTATGAATATCATAACAGGCGTGTTGGAAGAGAAATATAAAGTTGTTGCGCCTGAATTGATGCATGAAACATTTATGTCCGATTCTGAAGACGAAGGTGGTGACGAACACATAGATCATCAACAGTACAAATACATGGCGACTGATGACTTAAAAGCATCCGAGCAGGATCATCAAAACTACGACACGACCAACAATGACGACCACATCGATCATCACCAGCAAAAGCAAGTTCAACAAGTGCATCATACGCAATTGACTGCTGGACGTAACAGTTTTTATAGTGAAAAAGGTAAATAATATGTGTGCTAAATGAGCTCTTCCGGCGTCATATGTAATCTACATACATATGTATCCCTACAAGACGCGACTATCCGAAACTTGAAAGAATTTCTCTTTATATTTATATTTATTAAAAAAAAAACGGCACTAACCTTTTTTATTGTCAAGTTAAAATGCCTTTGTCTCCTAAAAGTTGTTGTAAAATTAATATAGTGTTTTTAATATTTTACGCTTAATCAATATTTTTATTTCATTATGGTAACTCTGTTACTCTCCTTTTTACCTAAAGCCTAATTGAAGATGTTTGATAAAGGAATAGATTTTTAAATCGGATTTCAAATTAAAATTTTGCTTTTTACAAAAGCGCGCTTTATCAGATAACCACGAGATACGGGCTATAATATTTAAACTCTTTGATTTGCAAATGATTTCATGCAAATATCCACTGTGAAGGCATTTTTATCAACGCATCATGAAAGTTTATAAATTCAACTGAAACTGGATTAGCATAACACCCTTATTCCTTTTAACACATGTATGTATATGTACTTAGTACATATGTATACGCTTAGAGTTATTTCCACAAGGCCTTAACTGCAGTTAATGCCTCTTGGAAAAAGAAGATTACAACTCGAAGGAGGTAATTGCTCATATTTAGTACAAGCAATCGAAAGCAAAAAGTAAGAAATAAACTTTGCTTATCACCCCATGTTAACGTTCCTTGAATTTACCTGAGCTTTTAACTGCAGTTAAGATTTTGGTGGAAATAGGCTATTAAATTGCAACAGAAACGCATCGGCACTGCGTATAATAAATCATTTAAATTTTATCGAAAATTATTTCACAGACCATAACGATTATAAGAAATAAAATTAAATGTTGCTGTATAATTATTACGTTACACTAAAAACTTTTTCATCTTCTCCTAGTAATTAGCTGGGACTTTTATTTTTTCGTCTAACGGGAGGATTATTTTACGATGGAAATCATTTCCGTCTTGAAATAAACGTCCCGAGAGACGAAGAAAAATAAAAGTTCCACATAATTATTATGAGAACACGTAAATGGTTTCCGTCTTGAAATAAACGTCCCGAGAGACGAGAAAAATAAGTGCCATATAAAAATTATGAAACGACGTAAATTCTTTCCGTCTTAAAATAAACGTTTCACGAGACGAAAAAAAATAAAAGTGCCATATAATTGTTAAGAGAAGACGTAAATCATTTCCGTCTTGAAACAAACGTCCCGCGACATGAGAAAAATTAGAATCCTACATAATTATTATGAGAAGACGTATATAACTTCCATCTGAAAATAATCCTCCCGCGAGACGAAAAAAAATATTTCTCATAAATAGGGATTATACAAAGACGAAAATTTACTCTTAAAACAAGGCGACGTTCGTGAGCTCAAATATTAGGATAATAATTATTTTGGGTCTCTGCTCCATATCTATCTATTTCCACTCCATATCTATTTATTAATAAAGTTTTTTCGATTTAAACTGAAAATTCTGTAAATATTTTAAGTATTTTAAGTATTCATTAATGAAATAGTCATATAAATACACTATATGTCGAAAAATAGGCGTTTTTAGTAATCAATGTTATTGAAGCCCGGAAAACTGTGGAACCTTCGGTGTCTGTCAGACTACCACGTCAGTCGCAGAGGGTTTAGCGAAATCCGGTATGGTTTATAAATTCTTCCGCTTAATTGTAATTTTTTCTCTTCCTTTATATTCTGTAAAGTCCATGATTTTTCGGCTTCTTCAAACCAATACCCGATAAAGCAGATCGACAACGTTGCGATAACTCGTCCACCTATTCATCTGGGGTAGGTATACAAAAATATGAATCATCATTTGACAAGCTTGTATTCGCTTATCTCCATACTTTCTGCGTTTGTTTTTGGAAAATGCAGCTTCCTTGTGTCGTTTTTGGTGGATGCACGTGGCGGTTCAATGCGTGGTTGCCGCCACAGCGGCGTTCGTGTAATTGTGCCACCGAAGGCTTGTTCGCAACCAACGCGTATCACGTGCCGTTATGTAAAGCCGCAACGAGTTCATAACCCGCCACCTTTGATGGAAGGTGAAGCTTTGGTTAGCCGGATAATGGAATTATCTCCAGTGGAGGCCAAATTTTTAGGGTAAGATAAGTAATTTTGGGTTTGGGAAATGCTTAAAATTTTTTATATTACGTACTATGCCTTAATACGCTTCATTAAATTATTATTTTCAGTCCAGTTGTGTTAGAGGTGCCGCATTTCGGTTCTTTGCGTGATAAGGAACGTGAAATCATAATTTTGCGCTCCGACAATGGAGATAGTTGGCGAGAGCATACTTTATACGATAGTGATCAGGATCTACTGCATATAGCTAGTTTCTCGGATGATCGTACGGTTAAATTATGGGACATTGGGACTGAGAAAACTACGCTTACTTTTGCAGAGCATGAGGATTATGTGCGCGCTGGCGCGGTAAATCCCATGTCACCAGACACATTAATATCCGGTGGTTACGACGGTAAAATTAAGATGTATGACACACGTACACAAAACGTTTCGTTCAGTATTGATCATGGGAGCCCAGTTGAATCTTTGCTGTTTCTGCCAACGGGTGGTATATTTATCAGCGCAGGTGGTACAGAAATGCGTGTGTGGGATGCTTTCGCTGGATGTCGACTTTTAACGAAAGTATCACAACACCACAAAACCATTACAAGTCTACGTCTCGGTTCCAATGGCAAGCGTATACTTTCTGGGAGCTTGGATCGTCATGTCAAGATCTATGATGTCGCAACATACCAAACTGTGCACACGCTTGATTTCCCCAACGCCGTGCTGAGTCTTGGAGTTGCGCCGGGAGATCAAACTGTTGTGGCGGGTATGGTAGACGGGCTTATTTCAATACAAAATATGGAAATAGATCGCAATAAAGAAGCGAAACCAAAACGTAATGCTAACAAACAGCGCCGGCTGACTTCGATNTGACATTGTCGAAAACGCAAACTTTTTGGATGGCAGTCAAAAATGTTTGAACAATATAAAAATCGACCGTGGTCTTAATTATAGGGATTTGTTAAATGCTGGTTTTAAGTCAACAGCAGTGAAGCCCATTATTGCAGCAGAAGCAGTAGTAGATGACAAAGAGTCGGAAATTGTTCAGGTGGCTACATTGCAACTTCAGCCGGATGGCGGCGACATTATCCACAGAGCCGATATTCGTTTATCGGACATATGTAACATGATCGAAGGCGACTGGATGCGCTTGGCCAAAGAATTGGGTGTACCCGAGACCGATATCGAGATTATTAATGCGGAATACAACGAGCGGCCGTCTCAAAAGGCTATGGTGATGCTACGTCTTTCGCTTCGTCAACAAGGACCCACGGCAACGAGCAACACCTTAGAACGTGCACTACACAATATAAATAGAAGTGACATTGTCAAGAGATGCATATTTAATATAGAACCTGTAAAAGATGACTTGGAGAGAAGCATGGCCAAAACTCAGCTGGACGAATCTGAGTTTAATGAGCTAGGAATACACTTAAATAAAAGCGCTGAAATGCTGTATGATGAGAGTAAAAAAGCCCCAACAGCTACCAATGATAGCTCTGTCTTGCATGATTCTCTTCTGAGGGGAGTACAAAGAACTGAAATTGAAATTGAGGAAAGCAATGAAAATTGCAATTTAGTGGCAGCTGCAGTAGATAATAACGTGTATACAAGAAGTAAGTTGTATAAAATTCTCTAGTTCCCTTAAATTGATCTGTATTTTTACAGAACATGCAGCAACCACTAAAACGCCGCCACCCACGCCAAATGATATTTCGCAATTTCACACAAGTTGCGATTTAGACAACATTCGGCGAATCGCTGAAGAGCATACGCAACAAGTATTAGACGAAGCGCAGAGCAACATCGAAAATGATGGTGAGAATATATATCCCACGTTTAATAACACAGAGATGTAAAATTTACGTTTTTTGAGATTTTTAATACAATTAATAAGCTTGATAAGAAGAATATGTTCAGCCTAAAGGTGGGATTATGCATACTTCGCATTACTTCGCACAACTTCTTAAACGTAACGCAACTTTACAAAACTTAAGGCTGATTATGCTTCGCATGCAACCAAATTTATTAGTACTATCAACGTTATGCATCGACGCAATAGGGTTATTCACGGTGTGTGAGCAAAAACAGCTGATTTGTGGTTTCTTTAGGTAAATAGATTTGTTTATAGAAAAATTAATTTAAGTGGTTTTAAGGTGGTATAGTCCAAATTAAATCGACACTCAATTTCTTTGCAGTTTGACATAATTTTCAATACAATATCTGTAAAAATATGTAAATAAAATACGTATGTTTTATTAAGAAAATACGTAATAACTATATGTATTCAACGATATATTTACCAGAAAGAGCATAAAAATACCTTTCATTTGATATGTTAATTTTATATAGCTAGGTTTAAGGGCTAAGGTTAAATGCCAACTGCGAAATAAAATAACTGTATTGATATTTTAATATAAAATGAAAATTTTGAATAAAAAATAGCGCGATATTTTCTTCCAAATGTTCGCCTGCAGAGCTTTTTTTCTTTTAAGATATAAAATCATATTTTAGTATTTAGTGATATTACCAAAGGTTTTTTATTATAAATCATATATTTAAAGGTGTTTTTGCTCTTTCTTATCTTGTGCATATCTTTTAATATAGTGAGTTGCGTATTTTTTTAAGAAAAACAAATTCTTATTAAAAAAATTGCCATAATTTATATATACATGTAATATACGCATATTAAATCAAAATACCTTTACCTTTCCAACCATATCAATATTTTGAAAATTGGTTCAAAATTTTTCGAAATATAAGCTTTTGAAAATATTGAAAATTCCACGAATTCCGCTCCTATGAATTTGCACAAAAGAGAATAGGGGTATTCTCGAAGTCTTGCACGATGCACGGATTGCACGAAATGCAAAAATACTATTCCAAATTTCGAAGAGTACGAGAGCACCCCAGCGAAATTATGTATCAGATACAAAAACAAGAGACAGCAAAAAGAAATGAAGTGAGCGAGATGAGAGAAATGAGAGAAATATGTAGCAATTCCAACAACAAAACAACTAGCACAGGGTCGCATTTATCATGCTATGCTATTTTGCAATATACATGGTTTCGACGTTGCATATTTTGCAGCGATAGGAAATATTGTTTCCCATGTATTTTGTTGTTTTGTGTTTGCAAGTTATGCAATCCGTGCTACTTGCAATGGCTTTGCGAGATTTGGAGAATACCCCTAATGTATTCCATTAAAATCATGGCCCGCCGGCCATGTTCACTTTTAGTGTTTTTAGCTCAACGGGCCCTATTCTCTACTTGTTCCCAAAATTACATTCATAGAGTTGTGAAATCCCCTAATATGCTTTCCATGCATCTCTGTAAAAATATTGCTATTGGTTCCACTGCAATTCAAATGCAACTTAAGAAAACGTGAGGCAAAATCTAAACTCAACGTATCGCTAATTTTTTACAAGTTCTGCTAATTTCTGGGTAATGGAGTACATACAAATTGCATTCAACAGATTTTCACCTGACAGTTTGGAGTTTATGCGAAGTTGTGCGAAGTATGCATAATCAGACCAGAATAGATGACTAAATTTCCCAAAAATGGCGAATGCTTTGATTTTGTTTTCCCAAAAAATTTAACTTTTTAAATAATTTTGTATATTACACTGTGCGACAGCTCAAATCGGTATTGAGTAAAACCAATTGCAAGTGATAGCTTTAGATGTCAATAATAGGTTTGTATAGTAACAAATAGTCAGTACTAATTTGTACTGGAACCTGCAAACTTTTACTGGAAAAGTGTATAATAACCCAAAAAATTTGCAAGGGAGCCCTGAATCGAGAGCGTAATACCACGGGATAGCTGCAAATTCTTGCAAGTGAAATTTTTACTAGCAGAAATTAGCCAGCAAAAGAAGAAGACAGATCAATGTCAAAAGCGGCCATTAGTTAGTTGGATTGGTTAAGCGTAAACAAAAGTAAAATGAGTGGAAATCAAAATATTAATGATGTACTGGACTGTTTATGTGCTTGTGTGTAAAGCAAAGAGTTTAAAACTGATTTATAACAGGTCTATTCTGCACGTTACCGAAGATTTTGTAACCGGAAAATTGTATTACCAAAAAATATTACCAGTTCTTGTCACCGCAATTCCAGATACGTTTGTAATGCAGTTAAAATATTCAGCAATTCAGCTATAAAGAATTGTGCAAATCCTGGCGTTGCATATTTCACGGGGTAATAATTTGTTACCAGCTTATGAGATGGTAACAAAATTTACCGGTTACAAGAGTACACAGAATGCGAAAAGGGTTTAAAAATTGACAGAACTTTATTTACCGTTTACAAACTTTTTATTACCAGTGCAGATTAGACCTGTATATAGTAAAATGTTAACAGTAGAATGTCAAAACAGTGCAACAACTGTTCACTTGAAAGTTTTTACTAGTTTTGTGTTCAACCTTATCTGCTAGTTTAACTTCTCAGTTTTACGCTCTATTTTGCTTTTACGCTCTCGCTGCACTTTTTTACTGGAGAAGTTACTATACACACCTAATTCTACGTTAATAGCTTTTCGGAGTTTAACTCAAATAAGGAATATATCCTTAGTTGAATCCTTGCACACAATTTATTGTTTAATTGGTATTTGGATACGAAGAATTTGTTTATCATAAGCTTTGCGCTAGATGGTGCTGCAGGCTGATTTTATTGAGTTTTTTTTTCAAATAAATACTAAAATTAGAGGTCTCTATTCAAAGAAATTCAGTCGCGATTTGAAATTTAGATTATTAATATCACAAACACCAATTTTAAACACCACAATCAAAACCTAAGCAGAAATTAATTTAATTAATTGGTACAGTGAAATAGCAAAACGGTGGCTATTTGTGGTAAGGTCCATAAATCGTTTTGATTATTGCTGAGATGTTAAAAATAGATTTGCCGGTCTCGAGGGGTTGTGGAATCGCCGCCATTTTGGAAAGGTTGTACGCTAGCCGACAGTACTTGGGGCAATGACAAAGAAACATTGCTAGCAACATACAAGGCAATAGGCCGGCCGGTTTTAAACTACGCAGCACCAGTGTGGTCGCCGGGGACTAGTAGGCCGCAGTGGATGAAGCTACAGACAGTACAGAACACCGCACTCAGGACTGCGACTGGATGCCTCCTGATGTCGCCAGAACAGCACCTTCATAGCGAGGTAAGAATGCTCCCAATCAAGGAGCATAACAATGCTCTGCAAGCAGTTTCTGACTGGGAGCCACAGATGTGGCCACCCAAACAGACAGCTGCGTGCAGAGAAGCCCTCACCTAGGCACGTCAGGAGGCATCTATACGAACTGACGAACGAAGTCCAGAGCTTCATCAAGCAGCCTCTGGACCCGTCAGCTTACCGACTGGCCCTGAACGGCATTCATAGGGAGTCAGTCTCGAGTTATGTAGACTCTAGACCTGTGAATGCCGTTCTAGGCACACAACCACCGGACATAGACGTGACGGAGCCTCATCTGCCTCGCGAGACAAGAACCACAATAGCCCAAACTTCGCTCTGGCTACTGCAGCAGGTTAAACTCATACCTGAGCAGACTGATTGCGGATGTGCCAAATGAGTGTCCGACATGCGGAGAGACCCCTCATGACTCGAAACATCTCTTCGCATGCCCGGAAAACCCGACAACCCTAACGGCTTTGTCCCTGTGGACCGACCCGGTGGAGGCTGCACGCTTCCTAGGGCTGTCGTTAGTGGAACTTGACGACAACGACTGAGATATCAACCGATCTGGGCGGGGTTGTTGTAGCCGCTACAACAACAACAACAAAGAAGGTTGTAAACGTTTTTCGCAATTTACATCGATACCGTTAATTTTTTTTCGAAAAATTCATAGACTTGTTTGTCGGCCGAAAAAAAATCTAAATTTTTTGTTTACGACTATTTTTCTAACGTCATTATTTTGAATGTTAATAAAAATTTAGTGATGGATTTTATTTTTTTAACTTTTCGAGAGTGGATTGTCCTAAAACAGTTAATTGTTGGAAACTATTCCCTTCTAATCTCAATTCGAGAATATTATGCATAAAATATTCGAGTAGGCCATGCGCGCTGTACGGAATATGGCGCTGTGCGATTAAGGTGATATTTTTTGCCGCCAGTGCACATACACTGCCGCTGTGATGTAGTGGTAAGCAGTGCGCGCTTCCACTCCGCAGGGCCTGGGTTCAAGCCCTGGTCAAAGCAACAACGCAAAAAAATGTAGAAAAAGGGGTCTTCTCTTAGCAGCGGTCGCCCCTCGGTAGGCAATGGCAAACCTCCGAGTGTATTTCTGCCATGAAAAACAGCTTCTCATAAAAATACAATCGCCGTTCGAAGTCGGCGTAAAACTGTAGGTCCCTCCGCTTTGTGTGACAACATCGGGGCGCACGCCACAAATCGGAGGAGAAGCTCGGCCAAACACTAACATATTTGTCGGCGCCAATCTAGTCCTTGCAAAAAATGGGACTAATCCGGGATGACTCCGGGAGCAATCGCAAAGGAGCATGCGACTATTACCACTTTTGATCTCTTTATATGGAATTAACTGAATGCCCAATTGTACCCGATGAGTAGTAGTAGTAGTAGTAGTATCAACTCAAAATTTTTTCGACAAAGGTTCTGATAGTTGCTTAATTGGAGTCTTCTAAATTCAATGGCGTCCTCAGTTTTTCCCGATTGGCTCCACTTTTGGAGATAGCGGTACTTGAAACTTTGCTTAAATTTTAACTATTATATAAAAAAACTCAGTTTTGAAGATATTTTACTAAAATTTTGCACACGCTAGTATTTTAATATTTCCTTCACTATCCTAAAATCATCGAAATCC